CTCTATCGATCTCACAAGCGATGTCGTTATCGGTCCCACGATCGATCTCACCATCGATATCTCTATCGATATTACAAGCGATGTCGTTATCGGTCTCACGATCGATGGGACCATCGATCCCACTATCGATTTCATTCGATCGATCTCACTATCGATTTCACTCGATTAATTGCATTGTCGATCTCATTCTGGATCTCGCTATCGATTCCACTAACGATCTCCCTATCGATATCACTCGATTTCACAACCATCGATCTTACAATCGATTTCGTCATCGGTCTCACTATCGTTTTCGTTCCAGAGGGACACCAGGACACCGGCGGGACACCTGCGGGACACTGGCGGGACACCGGCGGGACACCGCGCGCCACCGCTTGCCTGGGGGAAAATCGTTTGGTCTGGCCAGGGCCCAGCCACAAGCGGGACACCGGCGGGACACCGCGCGCCACCGCTTGCCGACAGGAGAATCATTTGGTCCAGCCGCGCCCCAGCCACAGGAGATTTTCCTCTCGCCCGCCCACGCAGCTTGGCCTCGCACGCACGAGCCGAAACCGATTTCCTGGTGGGGGGCTCTCCGTTCCCCTTCGATCTCACTCCCGAACCTCCGATAAGTATATAATCCCACTCCGCCACCTAGTCGGCCATCAGCCGCCCATTCCGGGTGGTCCCATCCTGTTTGCAAACACAAAGTGCACAGTCTACGGTTCTTGTCCCAACATGGATATTACGTCGCCCACTTTGCAAAACTCGTGGCAGGAGTGGCACGGGGCGCGCGCCTTGCCAGAACGGCCGAAGTGTCGGTCTCGCCTCGGCGCCACGTTCATTTTGCTAGAGACCTCAACGTCCGCTGGGACGTGGCGCACATTTGTCGCACGCCGCGCCGTCGACGCGCGAGCAGATGAAAATGTAGCTCTCGCGCCGGCGCCGCGCAGATTTCGCATGAGGGTGGCGTTTCCGCTTCGACGCGTCGCACATTCGTCGCTCGCCAATGTCGGGGTGCACCGCGGGGGTGGGCGACTTGTCGATCTCGCGCAGGCTCCGTGCGCATTTGGCTCGAAAGTAGTGTCTTGCGCGGGAGCGGCGCACGGCTTGTTCGCCGAACCGCGTGCAAGCGAGATTGGCAGCGGGGCCGCGCAAGAGCAGGCGAAATGCAGTTCTCGCCCAAGCGCCGAGCAGCTTGTTTGTGAAGGTGGCAGTGCCGTGTCGGCGCGGCGCGTGCTTCGTCTTCTCCGCGCCCATCAGAAGTTCTGTTGCGCCCACCCCCGCGCGGATCGCGCACCTTTCCCTTCGCCAAGTCGTCGGAACGTGTAGCACTCCGCAGATGCGGATAAGAGTCGGGGGACGTCGGCAGTTTGCGAGACTCTGGAGAAGCCCGCCGCAAGCGCCAACGTTCCACAAATTATACAACGAGCCCGCCGCTGGCGCCGATTTTTCCGTTAAACCACTGTGGGTCGCGGGTGGGCCGCGGGGTGGGCCGCGGGTGGGCCCGGGTGGGTCACGGGTGGGTCGCGGGTGGGTCGCGGGTGGGTCGTGGGGTGGGTCGTGGGTGGGTCGCGGGGTGGGTCGCGGGTGGGTCACGGAGTGGGTTTGTAAGTGGGTCGCGGGTGGGTCGCGGGTGGGTCGCGGAGTGGGTCGCGGGTGGGTCGCGTGGTGGGCCGCGGGTGGGTCACGGGTGGGTCGCGGGTGGGTCGCGGGGTGGGTCGCGGGTGGGTCAAGGGAAGGGTCGCGGGTGGGTCGTGAGGTGGGTCGTTGGTTGGGTCGCGGGGTGGGTCGCGGGGTGGGTCGCGGGTGGGACGACGACAAAAAATCACAACAACAACAACAACGACAACCACAACCACAACATCAACAACAACAACACCAACACCAACAACACCAATTACACCAACAACAACAACCAGTTTTCCCTCATGCGCGATGTTTCCACAGGAAGCATGCGACCATCATGATAACCATCCCCATCATGGGCGACTAATGTTTTATAGCGGGGTCCGTTATTCCCATTCCCAGATCTCCCGCCCAATGAGGTCTTGCAAACACCTCCTCCGAGGAATTTCACCATATCTCGCCTCGAAAACGCATGCCCGCTCCTTCCTGCGCCGATGCGAGACCGCCAGTGGAGCCCCAGCCAAGGGTAAAGCACAAGGAAATATCGAGCGACAGGATTGCCTTGGTGGGGATGGGGGCTGTCGGCGGCGAGGCAAGGACCTGGCCCTGAATAGAAAGGGAGGATGTCTCGAGCAGGGGCGCTGTTTTTGCTGGGAGCGGCGCCAATGCTGAAGAGAGTAGGGCGCCAGTCCAGCGAAAAACAAAATGAAGTCTCGAGCGGGAACGCTGGTTTTGTTGGGACGGCGGTTGTCGGCAGCGAGGAGGAACACCATTTTGAGTAAGAAGGGGGAAGTCTCAAGCGGGAGCGGTGGTTTTGTCGGGACGGGGGCTGTCGTCGGCCAGGAACAGCACCGTCCTGAGGAAAAAGGGAGGAAGCCTCGAGCGGCAGCGTTGTTCTTGCTGGGAGCGGCGCCAATTCAAAAGAGAGTAGGGCGCCAGTCCAGCGTAAAACGGGAGGAAGTCTCGGGCGGGAACGCTGGTCTTGTCGGGACGGCGGTTTTCGGCGGCGAGGAGGAGCACCGCCTTGAGTAAAAAAGGGAGGAAGTCTTGAGCGGGAGCGTTGTTGTCGCTGGGGGCGGCGCCGATGAGAGAAAGAGTAACGCGCCGGTCCAAAGTATAACGGGAGGAAGTGTCGAGCGGTAGCGCTGGTTTTGCGGGGACGGCGGCTTTCGGCTGCGAGCAAGAGCACCGGCCCTGAGTAAAAAAAGAGGAAGTCTTGAGCGGGAGCGGTGTTGTTGCTGGGGGGCTGGTTCTGGCGCCCCCCCAATCCGCTCGAGCGTGAGCTTCATTCTCAATGAAACTGTAGCCGGCGCACGTTCAACAGCAACGCAACACACAGAATCCTCACCACGGATCCCCACATTAGCCGCGCACCCGGGGACAATGAGTGGCCGTTCGGCCCCTTCACTCCGATAATCGTGGGAGGGAGGGTGGGAACCGGCGGGGCCCTCTGTCGCGGGCGCTTCCGCCGACCCGGAGAGGAGAGGAGTCTGGGCGCAGGACGTCGGAGGGGGAGCGGGGGCCAAGGGGAATTGGAGGATTTACGCGAGGGCGAAAATGCTTATGCCGCACCCGCGCCTGGGTCATGTTCCCGAGGCTCTCGAAGGCCTCCTGGGGTCTCCTGGGGAGACTTCTTGTGGGTGCCACTTGGAGGCTTTTCGGGGCCACTCTGAACCTCGTGAGGTCTTGGTGGCCTGGCCACCAGCGGCGCGGTGCGGCATGCTTTTTTTGCACTCCTTGGGGCTGTCCTGAGGCCACGATCCGCCTCGTTAACACCACGACGTGCGTGGTGTGGTGTCCGAGCCGCTCTGGCGCCGCGGAGAGACTGGAGGCGCCGGACGGCTGCCGCGAAGTCACGGGAGATAGCCAGACGGCCTCGCCGTTTCGGACAATCTCACACGCTCTTGCCAGGACAGCGGTTAGCGACGAGCCCAGACCTCCGACGATATGATAAAATTGATTCCAAGCGTTTTCTTTTTTGGGCCTTGGGCATGTTATCAGGACCAATGCCGAAATGGATCCTGGACGACAGCATCTGGGGAAACCATTAGGAGGCTCCAAACGGTGTGGTGACCACACCGCGTGGTGAGTCAGTGGGGATTTGGGGTTACCGCACTGGTTTTGGACTCGGTCGTTTTGCAAGGACGTCTCGGGCGACCAGGGCCTGTAGGGTCCCAAGACCTTGCGGTGACGGACCGTGCGGTGACGGGGCTTCGAGGTCACCGCGCGGTGCGTCACCACGGAGAGGGGGGCCGAGACCTTTGGGGCCGCGGATCGAGACGACATCAGATCGGCGCATGCCAGGGAGGGCGCGGGCCTTATCTATAGATGTGAGGCCGGCGCTTTCTCAGAAGCAGCCTCCTTCTAAGACGCCCTCCCTCCTCCCTCCACCACCTTGTGCGCGCCGCCAAGTCGTGAGCAAGAATCACGTCGTGAGGTGTTCGTGCGTTGTCGTCGGTTCTTGAGGGGCTCTCCAGTCTCAGGCTGGTGCGCCTCGCCGAGGGCGCTCTCGGGAATGCCGGAGCCATCCCGAACAGCCGCTGGATCCCCAAGCTGTGACTGCCAAGCAGTGGCGAGGCGTCCAGGCTTGCCTATAGGCCTACAGAAGCCTGGAAAGCCTGACTTCCCCGCGTCGCGAACAAAGGCTCTACGCTCGGGAGGTGTTCGGCCGCTGTCGGCCTCCCCGCTGCCTGCACCAGGCCTCAGGGCCGTCGGAAAACGAGTCGCAGAAGCTGGCCCCTGGGAGCGCTTCCTGACGTTTTGGGGCCCCGGATTGAGGAATGCACGGCTGCGGATCCAGACGTTGGATGTGTGGGTCGGCGGCGAGCGAGTGGGGAAAGCGAGAGGGAGAAGTCCTTCACAGAAGGCGCTGGGGGTTTCTCAGAAGCCTTCCGGCCTTCCGCGAGGGCTCATGTGCCTTCCGGGAAGGCTTAGAACACTTCTCAGAAGGCCGTGGGATTTCCGAGCTCAGGCCCGCCCCCAGCTTTTCGCACCATTTGGGAACCACTGGGGCCCTGGACCTTGTGAGGGGCCGTCGTGGCCACCCCGAGAATCCTGGGGGGCAGCTTGGGCCAGGGGCACTTCCAGCAACACCCGGCGGTAGCGAGAGCGGGGGCTGACCTCCGCAGGAGGTAATTATCCCGACGCCACCGCCGTGCGTGGCCAGGGGCCACCCCGGGCCCCAGGATGGTGTGTAGATGTCTTGGAGTCGGCCAGGAGGGCGCGTACACCGTGCCTGGGCCCAGGATGAACCTGGCCGGGCTCTGGGGTGGTGTACAGAGGCCATCTGCGTAAGATCGTGTACGCAGCCAGAGCCTGGGCCAGGCAGCAGGCAACAACATCGCGCTCTTGCCCCCTCCGATGGCCTGGCGCCGTCGCGCCGGGCGCGAGAGGTGTTGATGACGTCGTCGAGCTGTTGGACTGCCCCAGCCTCAGCACAGTCGACATCCAGGACCGCTTCCTCCCCCCTCTCCTCTCCACCTCGTCTCCTGTCCCCCTGAACCTGTCCTGCTGTCATGCTCTTCCCTCCCCGCTGCTCGCAGTCCTCGGTCGTACCCGGGTGTCTCTGGAGGTCCGGGGGGGCTCCTGCTTCCCCGAGAGGCACAACATTCCAGCATCGCCCAAGCGATTCGATCTTCGCTTCTCTTCCTCCTCCTCCTCCTTCTCCTTCTCCTTCTCCATGTCCATCGTTCCCTCCGCCCTCTCACGCTCCTCTCTCTCTCTCTCTCCTCTGTCCTCGTGGCCTTCCTGTCAATGTCATTACCGTGCTCATTCGTCTTTACTGTCACTGATACTGGCGTCCTTGAGCACAAGGTTGGTGACCTGAGCTACGATGATGATGGGCCTGTTCTCCACCACCACTACCATGAGTTGGAGGGGGAAGGAGGAGGAGAACGAGGAGGAGGAGGACGAGGAGGAGGAGGAGGTGGAGGAGGAGGAGGACCCCCTCCCCCTCCAACTTATGGTGGTGGTGGTGGAAAACAGGCCCATCAGATGACACGAAAGGGCGATGGGAGGAGGAGCGCCGCCGTCGTCGTCGCCGAGCCCTGTGGTTTGCCGATCGAGGCTTTTTCGGTCGTCTTGCTGTTGCGCCCCTCCGTTGCCGCCCCCCAGGACAACAAGCTCTGGGATCCTGACGTCCTTCCCGAGGCCGTGCGCCCTGCCTGCTTCTCGGCGGCGCGCGCTACACCTTAGGCGATGCCTAAGAAAACCTAAGTTTTCGTCCAGAGTCTCGATTATTCTTGACTTTCCAATGTAAATCCCAAGATGTTGATAGAGGTTCCGGGTTTTATTCCATTTCTGAGACTATGAATTTCTTGACCCATGATTTCTAAAGCATTTCGCAGGGTGTAGGGGTGGGGCGAGGGGGGTGGGCCAAGCCCTTGGGTCGGGCCGGGCGAAAGGGGTGGATTGGGAAAGGGGGGGTTACGAAATTTGCCGCATGCAGCTGGTTTCGGCCTCACCGAGGGGCCCATTCCTCGATACATGGCCGCCCCCGGCGCCAGGAGGCGCCGTGAAAACCAGCTACGTGAGCTGCTTCTCAAACCCCTCCTTTGCTATCCCCCCCTTTCGCCCGATCCGATTGGGGCAGCCGCAGAAGCCCTCTCTGTCTACGGAGAGGCCTCCGAGAAGCACCCTGCTCTCTCGGAAGGCCGCCTCCGCGCGGCCCCCGACTGGGCGCCCCGCCGGCGCTCCGTGGGCAGGGGCGGCGTCGGGATCAGGGCGATCCCGGCACGGAAGGTCGCTTCGGGAGCCGCGCACTTCGCGGTTCAGGAGCTCCACTCCGCCTCCTCCTCCTCCCCCTCCTCCTTCTCCTCCTCCTCCTTCTCCTCTTCCTCCTCCTCCTCGCTCTTCCCATGAGGGGGAGTGGAGCTCCTGAACCGCGCACTTCGCAGCTCAGGGGCTCCACTCCGCCAAGGTTCTGCAGCACAGCTGCGGCGCCTCTGCTCCGTGGCAGTCGCCGGCCTCGAAGGGCTGTTGTTCGTCCGTCTCAGTCATTCGGCTTCGCCAGTTTCCTTTTTTTCCCAACCATCCTGTGGTGTTGGGTCCTCGTTTTGAAGAGACGTCGCCCCGCGTTCCTCAGTACAGCGTTTCGTGGCCCCATAGGGAGCTCCACCGAAGGCCCCAGTGGCAGCGTTCGCATGGCGGCCTCGGGCCATTTCGGCACACTCCTCACGAGGATCGTGGCCCCATAGGGAGCTCCACCGAAGGCCCCAGTGGCATCGTTCGCATGGCGGCCTCGGGCCATTTCGGCACACCCCTCACGAGGATCATGGCCCCATAGGGAGCTCCACCGAAGGCCCCAGTGGCAGCGTTCGCATGGCGGCTTCGGGCCATTTCGGCACACCCCTCACGAGGATCGTGGCCCCATAGGGAGCTCCACCGAAGGCCCCAGTGGCAGCGTTCGCATGGCTGCCTCGGGCCATTTCGGCACACCCCTCACGAGGATCGTGGCCCCATAGGGAGCCCCACCGAAGGCCCCAGTGGCAGCGTTCGCATGGCGGCCTCGTGCGATTTCGGCACACCCCGCACGAGGATCGTGGCCCCATAGGGAGCTCCACTGAAGGCCCCAGTGGCAGCGTTCGCATGGCGGCCTCGGGCGATTTCGGCACGCCCCTCACGAGGATCGTGGCCCCATACGGAGCTCCACCGAAGGCCCCAGTGGCACGTTTGCATGGCGGCCTCGGGCCATGTCGGCACACCTCTCACGAGGATCGTAGCGGCAGGGTTCGCATGGCGGCCTCGGGCCATTTCGGCACACCCCTCACGAGGATCGTGGCCCCATAGGGAGCTTCACCGAAGGCGCCAGTGGCAGCGTTCGCATGGCGACCTCGGGCCATGTCGGCACACCCCTCACGAGGATCGTGGCCCCATAGGGAGCTCCACCGAAGGCCCCAGTGGCAGCGTTCGCATGGCGGCCTCGGGCCATTTCGGCACACCCCTCACAAGGATCGTGGCCCCATGGGGAGCCCCACCGAAGGCCCCAGTGGCAGCGTTCGCATGGCGGCCTCGGGCCATTTCGGCACACCCCGCACGAGGATCGTGGCCCCATAGGGAGCTCCACCTCAGGCCCCAGTGGCAGCGTTCGCATGGCGGCCTAGGGCCATTTCGGCACACCCCTCACGAGGATCGTGGCCCTATAGGGAGCTCCACCGAAGGCGCCAGTGGCAATGTCGCATGGCTGCCTCGGGCCATTTCGGCACACCCCTCACGAGGATCGTGGCCCTATAGGGAGCTCCACCGAAGGCGCCAGTGGCAGCGTTCGCATGGCGGCCTCGGGCCATTTCGGCACA